AAGATAGGAATCTCGATCTTTTAAGACTTGTATTTCAATTGTGAAGAATCTCAACTTTAGAGTTGCTTAAAAAATACAAGCTTAAGAATTCTCAACCATTAAATTAAAATTCATTTGGTGAAATTAAATTTTTAGTCATGAAAGATCGATATCTATCTAAACAGAGTCATAAGAATATAGTAGTTTTCTATTTTCGAGGACATTGAACAAACATTTTTTTCATTCAACAAACTTTATTTTTAGCTAAATGCACAAATAAAATAATAAAGGGAAAAATGCATTATAATAAAAATAAAATTATTTGTTATATTAAAATATATAATTATTTCATATTTATTATTAAAATATTCGAAAATATTAAAAATATTAAATAATCTATAACTAAAATTCTCAAAACAACTTTTCCTAAAACAGTTCTTAAAAAACTCATAACACTTGTTTTCACGCTATATTCACTTCATGCATCATGATTCTATTACCATAAAAATTAAATAAACACGTTATCTATTGATTAGAGTTTTTATTATTGAATTGTGTATTATGGTTTATGATTTTTATTATTAGTTAGATGTAAAAACTATTATATACTAATGAAGTATGATAAAATGTGGACTAAAGTATAAGCAAGTAAATAAAAAAGAAAATAAAATGTTGAGTGTGAAGATCTCATACGTAGGAAAAAAAACAAAAACAAAACAAAGAACAGAAATTAATGAAGGTATAAATGAAGTATTGGATCAACTTTCTATATTCTTCACAAAGCAAAATGTCAACTCAGTTATTTCTTATATATATAAAAAAAATCATCCAATCAAAGATTGAAGTGATGACACGTACCTTTTCAGAAGAATAATATACTCTCTTAGAATAATTGCAGCAAAATAGATAATTTCTTAGTAATAAAAGAAATGTGTTTCTTTTTGAAATAACATATAAAAGACTCATTGTGATTTATCATTTTTATATTTTAAACGTATCTATATTATTTAGCCATAAACATGTGGCCTAAGTGTATAAATGATCATCAACAATCTAATTAAACATTTTTTTTTGCTTTATTCAAAATTTTCTTCTTTCGACTTATTTGAAATTTATCCAAATTTTCTATTGCACATTTTTACCTTTTTACATATTTAAGGAAAGAAACGTTAAAATGATTAGTACATAACGTGTGACGTACTGAAAAAGAAAAAGTACATAACGTGTAAATATTAAATCGAAGAATTTCAGTACGAAGTCCACTTTTCTCTGCTCTCCACCACATAAATGGTCCTACCCTCTACTTTCTTCTCCTTCACTAATCCTTTTTCATCAGCAATGGTCAAGAAATTTATAATCATGACCCTCCAATCAAGGTGGAATTCACGGTTGCAAGAAATATATATATTTTTGTTCACGTCAATTTTATAATTGATTTTAATTAAACATTTCAGAATATATATATATATATATATATATTACACTTTTATATTTTAATAGAAAAATTTATTTTTAATTACTTACAATTAACCCCAAAAATTAATACTAACATTTTCTTCCGATTTTTTTTTAATGTATGCTACCCTGATCGCACGGATTTCGTTGAGTAACTTTTTTTTTAAACAAAATTGAACTTTTGACCAGTGGTTGAATTCCATGTCTACAAGCAATCGTACTTAGAAATAGTTTTGACATACTTTTTACATTTCGCCGAATAATAAATTAATATGTAAAATAAAACAGATATGTATTTATTAGTAATTTAAGAGATTATATTACAGAATATTTTAATTTAAATTAAATATAAATATTTTCGTTTTTCTATTTTTTAATTTCAAAACAGTTAAATTGTAATTATTCATGTATAATATAAATTGTAGGCATTGTCACACCGATTCACAACAATACATTACTTTATTAAATATATCTTTTAAGACGTGATAAGAAAGATCAACTACAGAACAACCTATAAATGTATATCTTGTTCATATGGATCTAGGGGTTTATTTGATAGACAACATAAAATAACTTCTTTTATCTTAATATTAAATAATACCTTACGTTATCATAATAAGAATTAAATATAAAAATATAAAGTATTCCTACTGTTATCCTAATTTATTTTAAAATAATCCTTGTATTCCATTATTGTTTATCTTATATATCAATCAAGCCCATAATTTCTTTGATAACTAATTAAAATAACTTAGGTCAATTAACAAAATTTTTATGCATGTATATCGTTTGTTTCTTTAAAAACTTTTCATAAAATATGTAAGTAGATGTGTTTGGATTAAAATTTATAAATCATAATTTATTTTATTATAAAAGTATTTTCTTTTTCACTTCTACTCAAATAAAATTATGTTTTCATATTTAAAATTATGTTTAATATTTTTTATTGTATTCACAAACAAGTATTAATAAATTAATAAATAATTAAATTTTATTTAAAATTATAATATTTAATATATTAAATAATTTTTATTTTTTTATTTATTTTATCTAGACAATAAGTATCTTTTATAATGAAAATAATCCTCTTTGTATTTAATGTAATTATATTTTTCAGAACTTAAACTCAAAATTATTAATTAATTCGTTAAGTCAAATTAATTTCATATCAATTTATTCTCAAAACAATTTTATATCAATTTATTCACATTTTTATTATTTAATTTTATCATTTCAAACTCTTTAATTTTTATAAAAACTTACTTATATGTGAATGCTTATTATGTATTACTAAATACACGTCAAAAATACTAAATTAAGTTTATATACATACATAGGATCCAATTTTTCAAACACTTCTCTTTGGTGTAAACTAAATTGCCCATCCCAAATCTTAAAAGTTGATACATACTGATTTAATCTAGTGTTGCTATACGTACCTGGTTTTCTTTTTATTTTTATAGCTATCAACTTTGATCAAAGAAAGGGATGTGCGGAAATTAAATAATGTAAATTTTTGTAATAATTAAAAAAATTATTAAAAACTTTTACCCCTCAAATTAAGTAAGAAACTCTCATTTATGGTCTTTTTGGGTAATTTTGATGTTTTCCACAATGAACCAGCAATCTAATGTACAAGTAATAATACGAAGAGGAATCATATATAAAGTTGTAGTTATATGTAAGCACAATAGAAAATTGAACATATAAGCATTATTTTTATAATTATATTATTTTATATTTTCCCTTTTATTTAAAAAAATATTTTTCTCTCTTCTAAAATATTGATATGAATGATATTTTGATGCATTTCAAAACATATAATGACATGTTTGAATTGACATAAATATATTTCAACGTTAAAAGTTATTATTTTTATATTAAAATGTAGTTTAATGTGATTTTATCAATTTTTAAATATACCCTGTCTATTAATGATGTGAATAATTGTGAATTTTGATTAAAGTTTTTTTTTTCCATTTCTTTAAAGCTTATGAATGAATTTTTTTAAGGGTCTTTTTTTAAAAAACTTTTAAGATGGAAAATAACTAAATTTAAATATAATATTATTAACTTTAAAGATTTAGAGGATGAAATGATATTTTAAATGCTTATATGTTAAATACTATCAGGTTATTTCACTTGAAATCTTCGTTTTGTGTTTTTAAATTTGATAATGGCTAAAGATTTGAAACAATGCTAAAAGTCATGAGAAGAGAAAATTAACTTTAGGAGACTTGTTACATTCAACCAAATTAAATTATAATATTAATCTCTTAAAATAAGAGAGTAGTAATCTTTAAAATGAAAGGAAGGAAAGTATATTTTAAGTTAGTTTGAAAAAAAAAATTTATATTGGTTGATTTTGCAACCATTTTAAAAATAGATTATTTAATAATTTTGTAGTTTTCTTTAAAGAAAGAGATGATAATTAATTATTACGAATTTGTTGCTGATCAATGGTTAAGATGTAGACAAAAATACGAGAGCCCTAATGAAACTCTTCTTAATTAGCATAGATCAGCAGTCAATATTGATGGAGAAAGAAAGAGAATGGTAAAAAAAAAAAAAGCCAAGAAATAGAGCTATAACAAAAACATGACTTTACTTAAACATGCTCGTCTTAAACTATATTATTTTTATTAATACGGTTATGATATGAATACAATATAGGTAGATTTTGAGAAAGTGGCATGACATAATACATAATTAAATATACTTATATTTGAGGTAGACATGAACATTTTTTATGTTCTCTACAATGATATCATGTTCGTGCTCTGTATTTAGGTATATATTATGATCATGATTTGAGAAGATGATGATGATTAGGATCCCACTGTGTATTTCCACACCTTTTTCCTATGGAAGCGTGTGGGTCTAGAGCAATATTTTAGTAACGCACAGTTTCTGCGAAAGATAGGGTAAGCCACACGCACTTCATGTTAAGTCAAAACAAAAACCAAACTAGTTCATTCTCATACTCATCCATCGGTATCATTAAATAGGTAACATGAAATTCATCTTCGTCGTTGAAAACGAAAAATAGAAGTATTTTTAAAATTTGGGTCTTCTCCATACCTTAAAAAGAAACAACTATTTATCATGTCAAATGGGTATTTCTCCTATTTTAAATTTAAAAAACTTTAATCTAACATAAAAGAAATTATCTAACTTAAAAATATTGAATATGACAAATATTTTTTTTTAAGAAGGGTACTCGTTTTCCTTATCATTCCACCTAAAATAACATCACTTAATGACACTTATCCAAATTAAAAGCGCATTAGATTTATTTACCCAAAAAAAAAGTGTACTAGATTTTCGCAGGCATACATTATTCCTGTCCACCAACCTCTTACCCCTTAACCGACATCTTCTCCCATTGGTCTTTCTCGTCACCCCACATCACAGCCGGTAATGTTATCACCATCAAACACCTCCAATATATATGTCACAACCCTCACTAGCTTTACCACAATGCAACCTTCCTTCTTCATTCGTCGTCTTCTTTTTCTTCTTCCCTTAAGACATTCTCTTTCTTAAAACGCGATTTTCTCTCTCTAGAAAAATCCAAGTTCAGCATCCATGGGTTTTCCCGTAGGGTACCCGGAAGTGATTGTCCCGCGCGTGTTTCTCCACCTCGTGACCCTCTTGGCCTTTCTCCGCTCCCTTGTCTCCTCCCTCTTCCGCCTCCTTCGACTCTCCGACCTCCTCGACACCGACGTCGCCGCAGCCTCATGGCCGGAGACCCACGCGCCGCGGCCTCACGCGCCCACACTCTCGGCGCTGCTCATCAGGGAGTTCCTCCCCGTGGCGACGTACGGCGTCGTGGCCGGAGATTCCCCGGCGGCGGCGTGCGCGGTGTGTCTGAGTGAGTTTTGGGCGGAGGAAGAAATAAGATGTATGGCGAATTGCAAGCACATTTTCCACCGAGCGTGTGTGGACCGTTGGATCGATCACGATCAGAAAACGTGTCCTCTTTGTAGAACTCCGTTTGTGCCTCATCATAAGGTCCATGACTATAACCAACGCCTTTGGGCTGCTTCTGGTGTTTCTCACTTCTACGAAGATGATTACACTGCTTCCTTCTGATTTCTTTTTTCCTTTCTTTTTTTTTAAAATTTTTTTCCTCATATATATAAATATATATCTTTTTTGAGGGAGAATTTATGGTGGTGGGGATAGTGTAGTCAATGAAATGTATATAATTAATTAAAGCAAAAAATTTATCAATAAAAATTGAGGATTTTTTGGATTGATGTACAATTTTTTTTTCTACTTTAATTTTTTTTTTGTGTTTTATGCCTTTCGTATTTTGCTATACTTGGAAATGGAAAATGAGGATGTGAGGGAGTTGTTTTGAATTGTACCATTTCTTTCTGACTTGTTTCTATTATTATTGGGTTCGCTTTACCAACGGGATGCGATGGATTTCTCTGGCGACCCTCCTTGATTCGTGATTTGTTATTCTGAAATTTGGATAATGTTTTATTCAGTAATTGGAAGGATTTAACAATGAAGTGGATTAAATCTTTTTAATTTGTTTTTTATGAAGATACTCGATAGCGAGGTTCTTGTTGTAGTGTTAGTGATACTGGCGAAAATAATATTTTAGTCTTCCTAAATCCTACCCCGGGCTTTAACATTTTAAGTATTTTTTATATATATATTTTTAGTATAACGAGTATTTTAAATGATATTTTAAGGACATTTATTAAGTTTATAACTATACGTATAGACAACTGTTAATCATTGTAGCTTTTTTAAATAGCACGAGTCAAATATATATTCTAGTTAATTACTTATATACTTTTTTTGGGTCAAATTTTCTATTATGGATAGTTGTGATGTTGTTACTGATCATGACAACATCTTCTCCTTCTAAAATTTTGCTCTCTTTGATGCTTACATAACGTTGGTTTTGAGGGATCAGATCTAGCGATTATTCGCTGTAGTTGTAGATAGCTATTTGATATGTAGTTTAGTTGTGATAATAAAAATAATTGATTGATATTAATTGTAATAAAGATAATAATCATGATAATAGGAATAACTATTAAGTATCTTTTAATAAAGATGAGTTAAATGGTTTATTTTACAGTTAAAAATAAAAACTAAAGCTTTGTTTTACGATGTTATCACTTTTAAATTTTGAAAACTTATAAAAAAAAAAAAAAAACTAGTTTCTAGTTTTATAATTATTAATTTTAATTATTTCGTCTTTAAATTTTAACACTAAAATTTAATTTTAAAATTATTGAACTCACTTTTTACTCTCAATACAAATGAACGAGTGAGACCACTGTCAAGAGATGACTTTGATATTTGTGGTAATAAAAACAATATTAATAGAAGTTATAAACATAGTAGTAGTAATTGTGTAATAATAATAATGAATAGACTAATGAGTTCTTTTCTTTTTTTTTTTACTATAAATACTGAAAAAATACATACTAAGGTGGTCCAAAAATAAATATTAATATAGTATAAATAGATTTGTATCTTGAACTCTTGATGCGTGTAATCTAGTAAGTCAAAGAAAGAAAGTAACAAAGCGAGAAATTTAAGGTGAACGAAGATTGGAGAACCACTTTTTTTTAAGAACGGCAATGATTGAAAATGGGACAAAAACATTTTATATATATTCTTATTTCTCTCTTCTTTAACCACTTTCTTTTTGTTTTTCGTCGGTCAAAATGTATCAGAAATGTAATGAATTCACACTATACGGTGGGTGACGTGTGCATCATCCAACTTCAACAATGGTGACTGTATACGTGCAGCCTGCAGGCATTGACTTGTAGGTCAACTATTGACCATTCTTCGTCTAATTGCAAATCCTTTTGCTTTCACATACCAACCTCATAACCCATGTTTTGGCTATTAAACTAACATTAATGAATTGGTTCAGGATTTGACATGTGAGTATGAAGTGCGACCTATCATGGATTAATCTTCTCTCGAAATTAATTTTGTTTGAATCAGATATATTTTTTAATTGTTTATTATATTCAAACTCAAGATTATAAATTAAGTTACTTGTTACTTATGAATTAATTATACAGTAAACTTTTATTTAACTATCATAGCATGGAGAGATGGGAAATGAATGAAGTGAAACGTAGGAACCATGAAACAATTGAATGTTTTAATATGTTTAAAATCTTTTAAAACCATATAACCGTGAAATGAACATAGGGTTGATTTTTAAAGAAACAATTATAAATTTTCTGATAATATATTTTTATGATTTTTTATTTTTAAATAAAAATAATTGCATATACTTGTGTTTTAAGATATGAAATATATTTCATTTAACACGTATTTTGCAATATCATTAACTATTAAAAAATATAATAAAAGAATATAACAACATATTTTTTAATTAAAAAAGTTGAATTGTTTCTTATTTTAATTTTCTCTCTTAAAAAGCTCAAACAATGAGATTAGTTTTACCCATTAAAGCAAAAGATCTTTTGTATTTTTTTTTATTTCTTTTATTTTTCTCCTTCCAATTTTATTTCTCATCCCAAACAAACATACTAATAATGTTAATTTTAGAGATATTAATTCAAGCCTCAAATGTCTTAAAATGAATGATAAGATGCAATTGCTTTTATTAAATTAATCTGACGCCTAACATTGGCCTTTTTCATGTTAAAATTAGTGACTTGGATATCTTCTAATCTCAATAGTGTTGTTAAAATAAGTTTATTTAACTTATTACAAATTAAATTTATAGATAAAATAAGTTAACCTAATTTAGTTTTATAGGAAATAAAAAAATTTAACTCAACCCTACTCACTGAGGAGATGGATTGTTAAAATAAGTTAATTTAATTTCTTTGAATGAATTTTTTACGAGGTAATTTAAAAATAAAATAATGTAAGCTCATTTATTTTTGTGATAAATAAAAAAAAATGTGAACTCAACCCTACTCACTAACGAGATGGATTGTCTTACTAAATATAAAAAAATAAAAAATTCAAAACTATTTAAAAAAATACGATTTAAAAAAATATCTTTATTACTTGATAAAAAGGTAACATAATATAATAAAATTTTTAAAAAATAAAAAATAACCCTGCAGCTTAGGCTATAAGGTTTTTATGTAAAATTAATTTTAATGTAAACAAAATAGGTATATATTCTTTAGCTATAAGGTTTGTTACTATATTGTTTACCTTCAAATAATTCTTGCTAACAAGTTATATGGCTTGTGTGATATAAGTTCCGTTTCTTGTCGGGTCGATTAATGCATGTGAGTCTCTAGGGTATATAAAATAACCTAAAAAGAGTTATCACAATAAATGTTTAATTTTTTAAAATATAGACGGTATTATATTCACTTTTGGTGCCAACCCTAATTTTCTAAACGTTAGCTAGCGAAAGGTGTTTTTTTACGACTTTGAATTTTGTTGTCACTAATGGTAAACACATAATTTTGTTTAGATATTTATTTATTTATTTTATATTGTAAAAAAAAATTATTCTTGAGAAAACAAGAAAAAAAGGAAAAAATATTCTACAAATCTTAACAAGATTTTTCCTTTTTTTTGTATTTTGGTTGTTTAACAATATTTTCAGAATGGAGCCAGTTTAATGGGCTACACGATCAACCATTCTAAGCCCAATTTTGGCTTTTGGGTGCTTCAGCATGAAAAAAAGGGCTCCCTCTATGATCCGATTAAATGAAAAGGGCTTGAGTTGTAATTATTTGGTTTCAGATTGCTGCATTTATATATGAACATACTTTGTTTTAAGTATTATAATATGCATGACTCTTTAAGACATGTTGTGAGGCTTGACACTATTATAGCTTGATAAATATAGTTTAGGGAATGGCATTGTGGTGCCAAGGAAACTTTATACATTTTTCTTTCCACTCTATTGTCACTAATGCTTTTTTTCACCCCCCACATACAACACTCTATCTTAGGTGTGATCATTGTGCAATTTTGAAAGAAAATCGTTTCTTCAATATACATTTCCTCTTTATACTGCGTGATGTTGAATCTATATATTATATAAAATCAGTAAATAGGAGATTGAAAACATAAATTAGAATAGAGAAGTGAATTTTCTGATATGGGTGCTTAAATGAAGGAGAAGAAATTGCTCTATATTTTATTACTATGAACAATATGAAATATATGCAAAAAGATGGATAAAAAAAAGTTATCTAAAAAGTTAGCACATAAAAGAGAGGATGTGAATCTCCACAAAATAAAGATTGATCCTCCTTTCTACCTAACCATACAACAAATTCTTCCTTAAAATAAGGATTAACGTACATTGTTATCTAACAAGTACATCAACAACAACTAAAGGTAAAAATAAAACAAATAAAAATTATCTAATAAGATCTTAAAGTATTTAGAAAAATCTTAATTTCTAACATTATCTTATATAAATTTGTTTAGGAGAAAATGCAAGATCCCGGACATTATTCATTTCATCTTTATATTAAGTGAAAGCAAGAGTCCAAACTTAATTAAGTCCCTCAAAATATTTCCCCTTGACAATTTTCAGATGTACAATTATTGCATGAATAAGTGCATGGAAAAGGATCAACGAGGATCGGAAGTTGATATAGAAACTTGTGAATCTTAATATTATTTATACAATATAAATCATATTTTTCCTTAGCAATCTTTTCTATAACAACATAAAGTAGAATCACGTAATAGTATTGTTCAAAGGAAAATGTTCAAGATGTTTTGCAGAAGAAAGTTTATTTTGACTAACCTATATATGTCTATATAATATTAAATCTATCCAACTTGTGGACAAATATCAATATTTTGTGAAAAAAATAATCCTTATCTTCTTTTACTTTTTCACTTTTTCTCTTTTACATTACATGATTTACGAAGTCCGTCTCACCTAATAAAAAAAAATGTAATTATTGTTATAAAATTGCAAACTTCTTTATGCTATTCTGCACTGGGGTTGTTTCCGAGTGTTATTTATACAAACAAATTTTTACAACAAATTCTATGAACTCACTTTTCTCTCTTTCCATTCTTTCCATCACGTTATTTATCTTATTTTATCCTCTTTTTTTTCTTATCTCTCTTTTATTTATAATTTTATTGTATACCTAAACTGCTCTTTTATTTTGCAGTACATAAGAATAGAATTTTGATTGCACTAGTTATATGGTATGGTGAAATTTTGCTCTAGCAAGGCCTTCCGGGGAAATGGAAGCATACCTAAACTCAAGCAAATTTTATTGCAATTTCTTGTTGTACTAAGTACTGTCTCTTCAACCCGATCCAGTTTCTAAAAAAATTAGTGAGTCTATGCCCATTATGTTCCTTAGATCAGACTTCATAATAAAGTAGAACACAACCTCGTTTGACTTCTTAATAAACACCACATGTGAACCTAAATGTCAGAAATACCATTGTTGACCTTGAAAATTCCATGTTCTGACATTATTCTTCAAGAATTAAGGAAATTATGAAGCCCAATATTGGTAAACTAAACTTTAAATTCCCTTGTTTTGAAGTTTGAGCTCACTAGTCACTACCAACCCACCACACTCTTTCTTACCTTTGCTTGAATATTAAGTAACTCTCTCACTGATCTTAAACATTGTATCACATAAAACATGAAAGAAAAAGTGAAGGAAAACTACTAACTCTCAAATACCAAATACCACCCTCTCCAAAAGAGAATCTTGAAATGTCAATCACAAGAGGAATATGTCAAATAGTTGCAGTTTCATTGCTTTTGGGATCATTGCATGTGTATTCCTTGGAATGTGAAGATGATCGCTGCAAAACTGGGTTGTGCAACAGCAATGGTGCTTGCATTTGCAACCTCCCTAATTCTTCCACCATCTTAGAGGGTGATCGATCTTTTCTCGGGTAAAAAACACATCAAATCTCGAAACTTAATTCAACTATTCATTCTTCCAACCATTCATACTCGGTTTCTAAAAGCAATAAATGTCATTTCTCAATTCTCATTATTTTCATCATTTCTTAAAAACATTTTTCTCTTTTTAAAAATGAAAGATAATACAAATTGTATTATATTTTATTTTTAAAAAGAGAAAACTGTTTTTAATACAAACAAACTCTTACTTTTTGAAAAATAAATGATTTTTTTTCCAATTTTGCTTTCCATAATCATATTATATATCATGTCCTGAATCCTATATTAGTATTAGTGTTTTTAATTCAAGGATCTTGCTAACTAGACTCTTAAGAACATTGGTTAAAGAATTAATAACTACAAAGTTTTTTTAAAAATCATGACGGAATTGCACTGGAAATCACAAGGGAATAAGTAACAATTTTCCATTTTTGATTCCTTATCCAGTGTTCTAAAGGGACTTGACAGCATTCTCTGTTATTCAATATTGTTTTCGTCAACTTTCTGAATGAGATTGTGTCTTGAGGCTATAGGGGTAAGTTTTGTGATGAAGAAATGATCATGTGTGATGGGACAAACTCCTTCTGGTGTGAAAATGGGGCAAATTGCGAGGAGATTGTTCAAGGAGAAAAGTACTACTGCAAATGTCGCCGCGGATTTGCTGGAGAACATTGTGAGCAGTCTGGAGCACCCTGTGGTCAGACTTTCTGTTTCCATAATGCTGAATGCTTGGCTGAAGCAGGTGATGTTTGTCAGTGTCCACTTGAATGGAAAGGCAGTGCTGATTGCTCTCTTCCAACCACATCAGCAGGTTCTCTCCTTTTTTCCTTTCACAAGTCACAACACAGTTTTGATGCTGTTGAGATGAGGATTATATGATATATGCCTAAACTCTTAACTTCTTGTTTTTCTAAAAGCATGTTTAACCATTTGAAATAACTTGAATAGTAACTCTTGCAAGTCTTGCCAAAGCATTCCTTTATTTATTTGGATCCAGTAATTTATTTTATTTATACACTCATACAAACATGCAAGAGTTTTTAAATTATGTTTATGGCATTGAACAAAAGTACACTTTGGCTTTGAACAATCTTAACCACATAAACTCATGATTATAAGTATTTGAGCTAAATTGCATTTTGAAAGAACGAGGCACAAAACCACTGAAATAGAGAACTTGTAGACTTACCAATGAGATTCTACGCAGATTTTTACTCAAATTCAACTGGCACCGAATTGCCCAAAGTAAGCAGCAGCAGTGACAGCAATGTGAGTATGATACAAGTTTTCGTCAGATCAAATTGTTCTTAAATAAATCATGGCATTAGACTTATAAATACTTTTTCTGGCAGAGTGAAATTCATATAAAATTCATTAATAGCTTGTTTGGTTTAGCTTAAATCTAAAGAAATAACCGTTTATTTTTCAAAAAGTTGAAAAAATGTGATTATTTCTCCAAAATAAGCAAAACCAAACATGCACTGTTAATATTTTCCATTGTCCTTATCCCATTTTGCAATTTGATGACCATGTGGCATTGTCAAGTACAGAGAACACTGGTTGTCTTGGCAGTTTCTTCAGTGGGAGCAGCTGCTGCTGGTGCCATTTATGGAAAGAAACTATTCAGCAAGAAAAAGAAAGATGCAATTAAGTTCCAGCAATTATCTGAAATGCAGGATATTTTAGATGATGATGAAGATGATGAAAGCCACAACATTGTACCTGAGAGGGTGCATGGTGATATCTCACACATTTAGTTGGCAAATCCTTTTCAGCATATGAACATTTTAGGATTCGTAGCCCAAGTAGTGTTTTTTTGTCTAGTTTTCATAAGGTCTCATTCGGACTAGAGTTTTATTTTGTAATATTGAGTACTAACTATTATATGATTGTGCTTAATGAAAAAATGGCATACAAGCACATTAGCTGCCGTGGATCTTAGACCAGAAAAGGCAGGGTTTAAATTGTCTTGTCCTAAAGATCGTTAATTGACACTTTCCATTCGAGGAAATTTGGTTCAAATTACAATCTGAAATAAAATAAAGACGAACATTAGTAAGAGAAAATATTAACATTCAAAGTCCAAAGAAGTGGAGTGAATCTGTATGAAAGGAGATTGAAAAGAAAAATTTGCTACCTAGTGACATTTTGGTAAACATATACAGATAATTATCTGAATTAAGTATCCTTAAATTCATCTAAAGTTTTATTTGGTAAACATCCCTTTTCATGGAGATTGTTTGACGTTCAGAAATTGAGTAATTACGATGAGTAAAATTATTTGTATTTTAGGTTTATACAATAAATTTTTTTGGGGTTAAACTTCTATGGTATTTCTACCATTATTCATAAGAAAAAAATTAGACTCACAAGGCTATTACAAATTCATTTATCTTTAATAAATGCTTTGTGGTTGGAAGTAAAATTTTTTAGCCGGAATTGTAAAGTTTAGGGGCAAACTATTTACCTTAAAAGACAAACGGAGGAAGGTTGTAGAAATTGTTATTGCCATGTATCACAATTAACATCTTTTTGGAGTGAAATTATCAAATATTCTTAACATAAACTCATCAAAGGAATATAACTGGGGAGAATAAATTTGACACATTTGCTTTTTTTCTATTAAGATTTCTTGTCTAAAGATTTTTTATGTTACTGCATATAAATAAAAAGAATTATGAAAACAAACGATGTTGCTATATAAGTCGAAAAAAATTGCATGAATTTGATCAGAATTTCATAGTTTGACAGAATAAAAAAGAATCCTTTAATAATAATAAAAACATTAAAGTCATATATTTCATGTATATTTTTCTTGTTTATATATATTTTAGTTTAAAATTTAAACATATACAAACTATGTTCACTATTTCTTTGACACAAAGTTCGGGGTCATGAATCTTTATCACAATTTTTTTATAAATTATTTGATCTATGTGAAAAACTCATTGTATGTGGCTCTTTGCTACTTTAATTTATTAAATTTCCTTCCTTACATTGATTATAAGCATTTTTCTAATAACAAAAGTTGAGACGGAGGGAAAGAAAGTAATATAAAAATTTATATTAAGTGAAAAAAAACAAAATAACATAAGAAATATGAATATGATAACTTCAAGTATCATCCTTATTTTAAATTATCAAAATCGTTTTTTTTTTTTGGCTGTTATGTTTTCATCTCAAAAGGTGGAATAAGGTAAAAATACATCATAAAAATGGATTCTAACTTTTAATAAGTCTAACTAATCAAGTGTTGACATTAAGGAAGCTCTTTTTTTTTTAAAGATTACAAAGGAAAACAAATCATGTGTTGGGCATCCGAGTTACTGCATATGACTAAAGTATCATTTCATTTTTTGAAGTTCTTCCTCTTTTGGTCTTAAAAAAAATAATGATGGTTTTAGGTTTAATTTCAGTAAATTTTTATAAAAGAACAAAATTAATATAAAAAATAATAATAAGTTAAGTTTAAAGAAACTTCTACATAAATTATTATAAAAATAATATAAAATAAAAATTATTTTTACAAATTAACAATTATATATAATATTTAAATTTTATAAAAGTAAATTAACTTCTAAAAGTAAAAAAATATAAGTTATTTTTAACTTATGAGAGAATTTTTTTTCATTTTATAAGTTATTTTCTAACTCTAATAAATATTAATTATTGAGAAATTAATCTAAATTAAGCATAAAATTTTTTATAAGTTAAAAATAATATTTTTTTTCAAGTTTTAGAGAATTCAAATAAAAAATTTAAAAAATAGAAAAATATAATTTAAATTTTATTTAGTAAAAGATTTTGATTTATTTTATTAAATTTTTTACTCTTTTAAGTATTTATTAAGAAGTTTATTCAAAATTTATAAATTTTATAAGTAATTTAAATATTAAAAACTATAAAACATTTAAAATTATAAAAATATTTCAAAAATTTAAATTATTAAAATTAAAAATGGCATATTTTATTTTTTAAAAATTATTAGAAAATTAATTATTTGTAATAAAAAATGTTATAAAATAATTTATTTGTAATTTTGTTCTCTCTCTAATATGTTGATATATTTTTTTGTGTTTGACATGAGAAAATTGTTTTTGTTCCCAATATTCCAAACCACGAAGATTAATGGTCCAATGCCTTGTAAGCAAGTCAACCGAACAAGAGTCAACACAGTCCTAAGCAAGTAAAAAGCATCATCGTATCATAGATTTTGTGTCAATTATGAGATAATACTCTAGTATTTAACTACTGAACTCATAATTCTCACTTTCTCTCTCTCTCTCTCTAAGTTGTCTTAACCGCATCTTCACTGACAAAGATTTCCTATTATTATTTGATTAATCCTCTAATACCCATTTGCGTCACTCACTCTTCACCATCTCCATGATCTGAGAATCGCCTCAAAATCACAATAACAGTGATAGAAAAATGGCTTTCAATTTGATTTCCTGGCTTCATCCCATTTCGGTTCTCAGTGTTTTGGTACTCTTTTTTTATTCCTTTGGCCTTTTCTCTGCAAATGATGAAGTGGGCACAGTTGAAGGTGAAACCTTTACTGTTTCAAGCTTCAGCTACCCTGAGACTAGGCTCAGGCCCTTTGATTTGCGCTATATCAGAGGTGTGTTATCCAATTTATTGAGAATAATCTCTCTCTCTCTCTCTATATATATATCTATCTATCTCTATGTCTTCCTTTGATCTCGTCTTGTTGAGTCTCCAGGATTATACAATTGGTCTGTTATATATATATATATATATAGGGTAAGGTGAGAATTAAGAATTAAACCAACCCTCTTAAGGGAAATCTAGGATAGAGGCAACAACGTAACGCTATTTTTTTTTATCATGGAGTTGGTTTTATTAACTTTGTGTGAGTAATATGCTCTCTGTTAATCGTTCTGATTGAAATTGCAAAGTGCATAAACAGATCATATGGCAATGTTTTATCAGTGTAGCCTTATAACATAACACTGGAGGAACCATAATCTTATTTGATTGGCTGTTTGTCATTTGTCCTCTAATTTGTGATCCTTTGAATTTGTTGCATTTAACTACTATCCTTATATGAGCAAGACATGGATAATAATAATCAGCTTTCGTGCCATTTACTTTTGCTAAGTTTCAGGTGGATTCAGTGGTGAAATAGTATTAGTGAAGAAGCTAATTGTTATGCTTTGGTGATTCAATTAGTTATATGGTCATGTTCTGTTGTTTTGAGAAACTATTGAAGATTTTATTTTGAAAATAAAAAAACCCTTTTTTCTGATATTTACGGACTTAATAACTTATGGATGATCTTACTTGTCTCTTCATGTTTTCCATTGCTCCAGTTGACTTGCCGCCATGGTTTTCTGCAATGTCTGTAGCATTGAACTCTGATGTAGACCTTGTAAGTATACCCATATTTCTTTGCAGATAGGATCACCTTAGAATGATAGCATTTATATGATGGCTTTTGCCTTTGAATTATTTCATAGTCTTCTATCTTGATATCTCTTGTTTATGTAACTTTTAAATTGTCACTGTTGGTGGTGCAACACAAGAAGTCCACGTCAGTGATGTCATCTTTTGTTTTAATTGGCTCCTGGTTTATTTACTTTCCTCATTTGTTCATACTTCATATATACATTGTTTTCAGGATGTCTCAAAAATTGAGAGAGTTCCAATGAGCACATTGCCGATAATATGCTTTAGAGATGGAAGTCCTCCACTGCCGGATGCCTTAAACACCTCTCTTAAAGATTCAGCCATCTCAGGTAGGGGACCATCTTAATAAATTAAACTGAAGTTAATTATACTGTCTTTTAAAATTGAAGTTCAAGAACATAAATTCTGTCTTAAATTTTTCTCTAGGAAATATTTATAAATCATTTTATGAAGTAAAATAAAAAGTGCATTTTAGTATATTCTATAATCTATTAACACGATTGAACTGTTGGAGCTCCACCAAATTCCCAGTATTTATTAAATTGGTGTCAAAATTTTTAAAGGAGCAGGTTCTTGTCTTGATTCACCTTAGAATGATAGCATCTATGTGATAAAAAGAAACAATCACATTTGGAGCTCTACTGTGATTGTTTCTTTGGTTATCAACATATCATGTAATAGACGATACAGAACTCATGAATGTGCAATGTTTCTTCATTGCCCATTGTTATACTCTGTTTTGAATCACATTGACACTACAAATTCATGGATTCAAACCTTATATCCCTTTCCTTCCCTTCCTTTTGTATGTTATGGACAACTCATTAAAAAACTGACAACTAGACAAGAAGGTATTGCCATTTAAGGGAAATATTTTTCCCACTGAATTGTCATTATTCAACAGGGACAAGAAAGGGAGACAGAAGGTTTTAGTTCCCGATTCACTTGTTCTCCCCCTCATTCTCTATCTCCTCTCTTGACATGAAAGAAGAGACAATTTGTTTTGAATTTATAGTGCCTTTGTCTTATTATGATTGCTCTTTATTCCCTATTTCTTTTAGGGATAAATGGTCTAGATGTGGAGCAGTGCTTTCCTATGCAGAAAAATATTACCATGAAACTGTCAAACAATCAGGTATTGTTATAGTTCTTTTTATTTGAAGCAGTATTTTTCATTTGTTTTTACTGGTATGCGCTTCCTTCTTGTGCAGTCTCTCCTTATGCTTACATAGAAATACCTGACTTAATATTGAAATTCCTTTTGTCAAGGATCAACTCCCTTAAAAGCTTAACCTGCTAGGTGAACACACAAAATTAGTTTTATATCTTTGACATGCCCCTCATGCTAGATCCCATTGGACTTGAAGTGAAGACAATGTACAGACCCACTCTTCCTTTTGCTAAAGTTGAAATTTAATTATGATGAATAGGAGCAACTCAACTAAAACTTCAGACCACTTGGTCATATTGGCTTTGATATCATGGAAGCTTTGGGCCTAACTTTTTTCAACATTTATTTGAAGTCTTAAAAGCTAGTCTAAAGTTAGATTTAAAAATAATACCTTCAGAAGTAGAACTAAAATTGTTTCATAATTTTATGATATTTTTTGTTTAAAAGTGACTTTTTCAAAAATGGAAATAAATTGAAAAAAGAAAGACTAAAAACTTGTCCCTATCTTCATCTAAAGGGGGGAGACCATATTGCACGGATAGGGGGATGGGAGAGACACAATAGAAGATTTGTGATGGAGTAGTGACATGGTTTTTGTTGGTAGAGCAGTTTGCATGACTTATGAGCTTCGGTTTGACAGCTCACATGCACCATTGTGCATGATGTTGCCAGTGTCATGGTCTGACGTGAAGTAGTCCAACATAATGGATTTGGCTATTTGGTAATGTCATGGTCTGATGTGCAGAGCGTGCAGTAGTTGTTTGACGCAGTGGCTTCTGTAGAGGAGCAGAAAGTTCTTCCAATTAACTTCTGTAGAAGCTCCTTGTATTTTCTCTTTTTTTTTTTTTTCTTCATTTGGAGAATTTACTTATATTTTTTGAACTTCTATGAAGAGAAGCCTTAAAAAGGATAGGCCAAAGACTACCCATGTCAAGGACCAACCCTCCTAAATGTCTAAGTATTAGATGATGACACAAGATTAGTTTTTCTTTTTCATCCAAAACCTGTATTACTAGTGGAGAAGGGTTAGTTCACAAGTGATTTTTCTTTTGTTCTTTTTATGATATCTTAGACAGTAAACATAACAGATTATTGTTCAGATATCTCCAGGTGTTTGGTATATTGGTCTTTTCAATGGCATTGGACCTACAAGGACACAATCAAAGATGGTAAGGTTTATTATGCAAATATTACTTTTATCCAATAGAAATTTGAAATTTAAAGTACGTTTCATTACTTATTGGAAGAGTTTGTTATCCTTTATGTGTTGTATTTTAAATACATTCCTATGCTGAAGGGGAGCTATTATGTTGGTGCAGTTACGACCTTTTTACATTAATGTGCATAACTAAATAGAATTGTTCTTTTTGAATCCTGATTTTGGTGATTTGTCATTACTTTTACCCTTCCATTCTAAATTTTTTTGACAACTTTTATAGTTCTAATAAATAATATTGTGATTGAAATCTTCTAAAATAATAATATTATTAATAAATACACAATTCAGTCCATGATTGAAGTTTTCTGCAAATGATACTAAATGTTAGCTAACTGTTTGGCCAAAAAAAATTGTCAATTTTTTTTGGTTGTCATTATAATAGAATTTTCTGCCAATAACTTCTTTTCTTCTAATGAATCTTCTTTGGGATAGGATAATTTCCATGCTTCAATGTTGATGTATACTCATGATTTTTTCGTAAGGGGGTTTCTTAGATACACAGAGGACTTGGCAACCAAATTTAATTATGTCATTCAGATGAAAGATTTTTCAGTAAACCTTGTGTAACTCATCATTTCTATATAGTAATCTACTTTATTTATTTTAATGCTAATGGAAAAATTCAGATTTCAAAAACATAAAAAATGGGTTTTAAAGCAAAGAGAGTAGATTACTATATGTAAAAGTGGAGAAGTACACTGGCTGTACAGTATTTCAATCTAGGATATGAGATTGGATACAATCTGTAATATCCTTGACAGTTCCATTTGACTCATTCTATCTCTCGCAGGAAGGTCTTGATGCAGTAGCCATATATTGATGAACAAACACTCACTTCTCTGTCTCTGCAGATTATTCGAGGTCCATCGTACTCTTTCATTGCCAATGTAAGTGTGGAAGCGTGCACAATCTCAATAAGGAGGGGGGATTTCTGTAACAGTACAGTTTATCCACTTTCATGCACAGCATCTAATATCAATAATGCTTTGGAGGCTACTGTGAACAAGTCAACGTTGGAAAATCCAATGACCTGCAAAAGTAATTTTGAAACTCTGTGTGTTCATGAAGGTGTACCAACCTTCTTCTCCTTGGAGATAATGAATGTGGCAGAAGAATTTACCATTACTGCAACAAATGTCAGATTCAATGTTACATCATCAAATAACATTTCTGGTGCAAATGATTTTAGTTTAGTTTGTTTTGTTCGCCATGGTGCAATGCCTTCAGCAACTTTACATGATTATTCTGTTGATTTAAATAAAAAACCCCTTGTTATTCATTCACCATTAATTGGTCGTTGGTACCTTAGTATAGTTCTAGTCAATCTTACAAAGACTCATGATAACAATGTAAGAGTTTGCTATTCAGTGGAATCTCAAGTGCTTCAGTGCCTACCTGGGAAAGCTGGACCAAATTGTACGATGGATAGCTACTTGCTTCAGGTATTATTCTTTGCACAATGTGTCTCTGCCTCTATTGTCTTTTCATGCTGTCACCTTAAGTGCTTTCTTTATAAATATGATAATGGACTCTAAATTGTGTTGGTCTTATATTCCTTGGACTAACCAAACTCCATTTAAGGTTTACTAATTTTATTGGTAGAATCAGGATATGATCAAATGTCATATCTCATGCAGTACAAATGTAAAAAAAATAAAAATATTAATATCAACTTTCTGTTAGCAAATTATCGCTCTGATAACATCTAATATATACGATCATCGAGATGAATGTAGCATGCAGGAATAGGAATGTGTTTATCACTGTCACAGTGAAAGCATTATTATACATGTGCTGCTTGTCCCTTAGCAGTTTGCTTATTGGCTTCTAAATCTTTACAGGTGCCTGAGATTTAAAATCTTTTATGCCTTATGCTGAAAAAATGGGCTTTTGTTAAGGATACTAATATTGCTCAGAAATTAAATTATAGATGTTTTTAACTAAGGAAGTGCTATCCAACAGGATACTGAAATAGTATTTCTCTTAGTTTGTTGACGTTGAGTTTTAGTTTAAGAACACTTATTGGTAGAATCAGTTCTATATCTTGATGCTTGAAAATATTTACACTGGAATAAATTATTGACAAGATGAGAATGATTGCCTGCAGACATTTCTAAGAAAAGGTTCAACCCCTTTTGAATCATATTATTTACCAGTTGGTGGAGGAGCATCTTATGATTCTGCCAATTTCCCTCTCGAGTCACTTATAAGAAACTCATCATACATTGGAGAACCTGATAACATTTGGACTTACTTTCTTTTGGATATTCCTCGTGGTGCAGCTGGAGGAAATCTTCACATACAGCTATCATCAGATGTGAAGATCAGTTATGAAGTTTATGCTAGATTTGGTGGATTACCATCACTTGATATCTGGGACTATTATTATGCTAACAAGACAAATAGAAGTGACCCATCTATGTTTTTCACGCTATATGATTCAAGTGATGAGAAGGTTAATTTTTATATTATGTATGCTAGAGAAGGAACTTGGGGTTTTGGTGTAAGACATCTTAATACCAGCAGTGATTCTGCAAAAGGGCAAACTATCATGTCTCTTTCACTTGAACGATGCCCAAAACGATGTTCTTCTCATGGAGAATGCAAATTTTCTTTTGATGCCAGTGAATTGACATCATACAGGTCTATCTTATGCTCTTAGCTTGTTCTTAATTTATCAGTTGTGTTTATCATTTTTTTTCTTTAAGCCCTTGAAAATTCTTGGTAATGATTGGCTCATTAAAAAAAAATCAGATGCCATATTGTGGAGTTTCCAGATTGCATGTTTTGCATTTGTTCCTCAATTTATCAAGGAATTTACCATTTTAAATGTTTACCTTTTGGTCTCAGCTTCTGCTCTTGTGATCGAAACCATGGGGGCTTTGACTGTAGCATTGAAATTGTAACACATCAAGGTGACAGTTCACTTTTTATATCCATAAAGTTGGTTCACTTTTCCTATTTGGTGTGCAAATTTCATAATCCAGTTATTGAAAATTTGAATAGGGCATGTCCGGCAATCAATTTTTCTTATTATATCAAATGCTGCAGCCATACTTCCTGCCTATTGGGCTCTTCGGCAGAAGGTGGTTCCTTCCCTTTACAATTGTTACTCTTGGTAACTCTTATTATCTCATTAAATAGATTTTTTTTGTTGACATAGAACCCATAATTTCCCTTTTTCCATGGTACAAAACCCATAAATAATTTCCTTTATGCAGGCATTAGCAGAATGGGTTTTATACACATCCAGTGGAATTTCAAGTGGACTATATCATGCATGTGATGTAGGTACCTGGTGTGCATTGAACTATAATGTCTTACAGGTTAAAACTCTGCCTCCAGGATTCCCTTTTACTCTTTCTGATAATATATAAAGAGAAATTTTTGGAACTAGAAAATGTTATGCCACTGGCATAGGTATTCCAAACTTAAATAAACCTCTGTAATTTGACTATCTAATGGAATTTGTGTCCTAATGCAATGAAATATGCGATGGAAGCATAAGCCTTGGCATCAATCATATTTAACATGTATATTACATGCTTAGATGAGAAGCAAAAGTTTGATTTCCTCAAGGATAGTGTGACCATAAATACACTGACAAAAAATGGTTATATTTATTCTTTTGACAATTTACAATGGCTTTACATATCAATGTTTCAGTTCATGGACTTCTGGCTCTCTTTCGTGGCTGTGATTAGCACTTTTCTTTATCTAGCTACCATTGATGAAGTGTTTAAGAGAGCAATCCACACAGCTATTGCTATCCTTACTGCCCTTATGGCTGCTACAAAAGCAACCAGGTAACATGAACTAGTAGACTGACAATTTACACACACACACACACCCCATTAAAGGTTGAAGTTTTTTCATATTTATCTTTGCTGAGTTATCCAGGTCTTCCAATGTTGTTCTTGTGATTGTGATTGGTGCTCTTGGTCTCCTTATTGGATGGTTGATAGAGATCTCAACAAAATATAGGTCCCTTTCCTTTCCAATAGGAGTCTCTCTTAATATCTCTCACTGGTATGTTCTCTGTTCTTTGATAGTAAATTTGTTTTGAGTACACTGTAATATTGGTTTACTGGAAACATAGTTGCAATTAGTGTCACAATGCGTTATTTTCATTTTTTCTTATTTTTCATGCAGTCACTGCCTATTCATGATTTTCCATTGTAATACTTGGTGAAGATATTACCATTTTAGGAATATCAATTGAAAGAGTGATTAACGATGTCTCTCATCCAAAATCTTTACTCCTCCTCAGTTTGTTTTCATGTTGTGCTTTGGATCATCGATATCTGTTTCAGGGCTCATATTTGTGCAATTGTTTTTATGTAAATTGCCAACATGATAATAGAGCATTTATGTCATGATGTTACTGTTGGATCAAGTCCCACTAGATCCATTTCTTAAAGAGTACTTCGGTATAATTCCTGAGGTCCATTATTTCCTTATATTCAGTTCATGGTCAGGATCCAGTGCATGAATAATATGGAACTGATTGGAAGAAAGGGAAGAGAACTCAACATACGGTAGTCCTTAATAGGACAATTCAGCTTGACAACCAAGCAATCTTAAATTACTAAAAAGATCCCCAGGTAATTTAAAAAACACAAATAACTCCAAAATACTGAATATCTCTGTTAGAGATGCAATAAAGCCGTTCAGTTGCCTTCCTTTCCAGTTGAAGCTTTTTAAGGGAATTTGTTCTTGACATGGTATCGAAGTCTTTATGACAAAGTGATAGAGTTTAACCCTTTCCATCCCTATTCTTCTAAATAAGAGCTGACTTTCAACACATGATAAAAATGGGATTGTGTAATATTCATGCTTCAAGCCCAAAGGGCTCTTGTGTGACAGACCATTTTAGGGATGTAATGTAATAAAGCGATTCATGAGTTTTCATCTAAGAACCTAAACTTTTACTAGAGAAGGTCCTTGACCTTACCCAATATGAAGATCCCAATTAGCACAAATAGATCCCATAATTCCTAATCCTCATCATATTTTTATTCTTATGCCAAAGTCCATCACATAGGCTACCGGTTGTCTTGGAGATTGGTGCTTAAAGATCTGAAAAGTAGGTAATTATTCCTTGGAAGTAGCTTTTTTTCTTTTAAGGAACATGGAAGATGATCATAAGGGTTGAAGATGATTCTTTAACAGATTCCTCCATGACCATCTTAAATCTCATTTGGGTTAATCCTATTAGTTATCTTGGAGGTGGTAATATTCATATACTGTATTCATTGCTTGATCACAGATTTATACTTTTATGTTAAACTTGCATGTGCTTGAAGATTAACTCATGATTGCTGATGAAGTTGTGTCTAAATGTAACAAAATCAGGGTTACTGATGATTTCTCCCTGCAGTTTCCAAACTGTAAAGAGGTGGCTCTATAATGTTGTCAAGACACTTCTGAGACGGTACCGCTGGCCTTTTGCCTTGGTTGGTTTTGCTGCATTGGCCATGGCAGCAATAAGCTGGACACTTGAAACCAGTGAAACCTACTGGTTTTGGCATAGGTATTACAATACTACTACTACTCTTCTATTCTCTTTGTTTTTTTCTCTCTCTTTCTGTTCTCTATATCTCATGTTTGCTCTCTCTGAAATGTTTACAGCTTTTGGCACATTACAATATACACATCTTCCTTCTTCTTCCTTTGTTCTAAAGTAAATAATGTGGATAGTGACAATCAGCTTTCTACAAATGGAAACTATGAAATGACTCGTCAGGATTCACTTCCAAGAAGTGGTTAGGAAAAAAAATTGAATAAGTGGGTGTAAAAAGGGGAGGGAGTTTGATTGGATTTTAATATTTTTTGTTTGAGGTGAGTTCATGTGAAGGTGCACAATAATGTGAAGCTACCTTTATTGAATAGGAGGAATAGATATGGCTCCTGACTTGAGTAAGATATCATCCTAGCAGTGAATTCTGAGGCCAATAACAATGATCAAGCAAAGCTTTCTCTTGTAAATTCTTTTCAGCTTAATGTTTGTTTCTTCCATTCTTTATAGGGTACTTTTGCTAAGATTGTCTCTAGGATAAAATAATCAATCTATGGATTACTTTTTGACATAAGGTAAAAGGGGTTTTGTTTATGTAATTATGATTTAGAAGATAACTTTACCTTTGAACTGTATCATATTAAGGGATCTTCTGGTATAAAAGCTCAATATTAAATATTTTTTTTCATATAATTTGATATATTAAATTTATAATTATTTAATAATTACTTTCATTTGTAAGTTATCTAAAACGATTTTTGTTCGTTTATGTGCTATTAATATATTGGGAATATTACACACAAGGTTAGAGTAAGTATAGCGGTAATTATGACATAGAGAGAAAATAAACTTTAAGATGCAATTGTTTTTACAATACTACTTAGAAGAAATGTCAGGACACACTATTTAAAACGCTCTTACTTATTAGTTAGTTTAAATTTATTAAAACTTACAAAAATATGAAAGAGAGAGAGTAAAAAAGAAAGAGTCTTATATAATTTTTTTATGTTTTTAAAGGAACTAAGAATATGTTAGAAAATATATATTAAAGAGTGTATTGCTAATATCTCTTGGTGTTAATTATCAAATTTTAAGAAAAGAAAAATATTAACAACATACTTTGTAAAGTATTCTTACGAAATATGAGTAAAATCATTAAATTAAGAGTAAGGCTTATATTTTTTATAATTTTTAATAAATTTTAATAAATAATTAAAAATGTATTAAATAATATTAAAGATAGTTTCTTTAACACTTTTTCAGAATAGAAAAGTGATATCGCAGGGTGAGAAAAGTTAAGATATCATACAGATAACAAAAATATTTTAATATGACAAAACATATATCTAGATAAATAAAATAAGTTCTCTCAAAATATCATACATTTTTCCTATAAGACTAAATACACACAATCAAGGAAAACAAATTAGTTTACACTAAGTCTTCTAGTCCTATATTCTTAAAGGACAAGTTTCACAGAAATATGGAGTCTACCAACCACCATATGCAAGTGTGAATTCTCAACTTTTGACCTTATCAAATGCTCAAATTGCTTGATCGGTATATATAAGGTCGATTAGGATCAGTGAACATTGTCCCAACTTACATTCTTTGATTCAAGTGTTTTCTCCTGAGATGTATGAGGCAATCTTTTTATAAACCTTGTGGATGATCCAAAGGATCTCAGCACATTTCTTCATATTAGGCCTGCTTTGTCTACAAGGAGCTAAACTTTGTAAGGCTAGTTCAAGTATATATCTTTTCTAGGGGCATATAATTTGGTGCAGTGATTTCTAGTTTTGGAATTTGGATCCAAAACTTAGATGGCATCTCCCTCATCAAACTTCTTCATAGCCTGCAATTACAGCATAAAGGCTACATTAGAGAATCAATCTATCTTCCCTGCTATACTTTTGAACAAAATGGATTAGAAAGGTGCCATCATGATTCATGAAGAGGATGAGCTAAACTTTTTAACATTAATCGATTATACTAGAAGATATTATTTTCCATAATATATGATGGAAAGTATGGAAGAAGGTAGAATGAAGGAAGAGAACACACCCATTTATACCACCGAAGGGATTTTCAATGATTCCTTGATTAAGTTTAATAAAAGCACATTGAAGACTTTTAATACTTTCCCCTTCAGCACGTAGAGCTTAAGCTTGAACAACCAAAAATATTTAATTTTCAGCAATTTGAAAGCCATAATTAAAATCATTGACACTTCTTGTGGGTCCTCATTTTCCACTTCAAAACTACAATCAGTGTTCATCCAATTAGTTTTTCCTTTGAAAAAGCTCCCTTGAACAAGCAGGTACACATGGATCAACCCATTGGAAGTATAAAATATAAGTCGCCTAGAACCCCCAAGCATGGCAAAAGTCACACAATAGAAAATAAAAGCACTACAACGAATGAAAATCCTAAATTCCCTTTACTTTGTAATTTGGGCCCCTCCAAAATCTTCGTCCAGAATTTGAGCTCAGGTGGATAAATTGAATTCAGGCGAGCACTATCACGTCACACAAGCTCTATTAGAGTTGTGTATGCCACCTACAAGAATATCTATAACAACGTCTTTAATTATGCTATATTAATTACCACTTAAATTATTTTTACTTTAATTATATTATAGTAATTACCAGTTAAATTATTTTTTACTTATATATATATAGAATTTATTGACATTATATGTAAGTTTAAAAGACTTAAACTAAATTTTAATCGTATAAATCAAATAATCTAACGATTAAAAAATTATTTAAAAAAAAAAAAATAACTTTTTAACCGTTAGATTATTTGATTTATACGATTAAGATTTAGTGTAAATTTTCTAGTATTATATATATATATATATATATATATATAAATTATAATAGTATAAATTTATAAAAAAATTATTTAATTTAAGTATTTCATTTAACTTATATCTAATTATTAGTAAAGTAATAAATTATAATATAATAAAGTTTTTAAATTTATACTAATACGATATATAAAAGCCTAATTAAAATACTAAATTCTTGAATTTCTTAGAAATCAAATCTCTTCCAGGGTTTTATGCTGTAAAGTCTACCACATTCAGAAAAGTTTCTCATATCTATGCTCAAATGTTATGATTGTGACTAAATTAAATGTGAGCACCATAAACGGAGTGCTCCCAATATCAATTGATAAACTTTCTTTCTCACAGATATTATGACTCTATTAATACACCTACTATACTAATAAAAGCGTTAAGAGTACCTTTATAATTCAACTTCTGGTCCATTAACTTGAGGTAGATACAATGATCCTGTTAATTTTAAATGTCAATCACTAAACCTTAGATAGAAGCTTCGATAAGAGCTTTACTTTCAGAATGCATGGAATCCAAACCACTGCACAGGAAGGTCTAGTTGATAGTCTTTAACAAATATTTCTACGTGATATCCTCTCTGATTTTTTTTTATTATCTTTATAATAATTATGTCTCATTTATTTTATTTTATTTCACATCAATATGTTGATATAGGTTATATATGGACCCGCGTTCCATACCCCATGCAACACAGCTTTATAAAATGTATTTAAGTGTTTATACTACAAATTTAACAACAAAATTTATTAAAATAGGAGGAAAAAAGAGTTATTGAGAGTCATAAGACATTTTTATAAGTTCTATCAAACTGATCCATGATCTAATAATTAAGAAACAATTATGCTTGAACAGGAGAAAACATTTATTTGACTTAAAAATAATTAATGAGAAGTTCGTCATCGTCATTTGTTTTTATCTAAGGTGTAATTAAGAAAAACGTTTGTAGTTAGAAAATAGACCAACCAAATCCACAGGGAGTTGAGCAACTTTCTTATTAGGTTATCCTCACAAAACAAAAGCTACTTACTAAAATAATTGTTTAAATTAGTATAAGTGAAGACAAAGTTATTAAATTATGTCAAACTTGTTTACATTTTGCAACTCCCTAAGTCATGTTTGAGTTGTAATTACGACATAACTCAGCAATGTGTTCTCCAAGGAAATTCTGTAATTGAATTCGATTAATTTAAATTAAACATATTCTTGTAAACAGATAAATGAAATTAAAATAATCCTTCATTGCAAATTAATTCCTTTTAAGATAAAATTTCCAGCATTAATTATTTTAAAACTAAATTCAACTGAAATTATAACGAAACGGATCCTTAACCTGTGTTGGGAACAAAATTTAAAACAGATTTTGCAAGCACTATTTGCTATATTATGCATTCACAAATGTTTTTTTTTTTTCCTATGAGGTTTACAAAATGAAGAAGGTATATATAGTATTGTGTATTGACATCAGACAATTAAAGGAAAAAATGTTCAAAACGATAGTATGAAATGAATACCCATATTCAAATTCAATCAATTCTATTAAAGGCTGAAGCAGTGTTAATTAAGTTAGCAATTTTTTGGGATATTTTGAAAAATTTTCTTTGGTCATTTTTTTTAGTATGAAAGATGTTGAGCAGGCCAGCTAGTATATTAAAAGAATAATAGAAGTTCAGTTAAATATTTCAAATTTATATTATCATAAAGAAAATTCTCCAACTCTGATCATTTTTGGTAATCTATATATTACTTTAAGGGACTTTTTTTAATTGAATAAATATAAATTATTAGACAAGGTAGATTACAATAATGATAAAATATTTATTTTAAACATTTAACATGATTGTATTTATTAAAATTTGACCTCAAAATTAATATGAATAAACTATTTAACATGTGTTTATAATTTGTCAATGTGTTAGTATTTAAATATCTATATAAGTTTCATTTTAATATTACATACAAAATGCAAAACGATTGATAAAACAAAAAGAGATTTGAATTAAACAACAAACTTTTTAGTAACATAAAATCAAGAAAAAGAAGTTATTCTATTCGTTTGAATTCAACACCACTTGTTGTAGTCTTCACCTTGTTCAGCAGCCCTGACCCAAAAGATAAGCTAGAAACAGTTTGAATTGACTTTTGTGGTAATTTCGTTAGCTGCAAAGAAAGGAAGAAAATAAAAACCGAAACAGCAAAAATGACAAAGTACTTTACCAGTTCACTTATCCTAATACAATTGGAGAGAATGGGTATAAAAGTCATAACAGGATTGAAATATTACTTAATGAAAAAAGAAGATATGAAAAACGAGTTCCATAAACTCAGAAAAGACTAACAATACATAGTACATGATTGAGTCGCAGGGCTTTTTTTAAGTTAAATACAATTGAAGTAATTGATAAAAGGAAAAATAAAAGAACACAACATAAGCATAACTCAACTAGGCCAGTTTTATACATTGTTATATCATTATTTAAAGATTAAATTACTAATCTTTAGATAGTTATTTAAATTACTAACGACTGATTAGTTTAAGTAATATATGTTTGATTTTTCATAAACAAGATCTTAAACTTATGTATAAAAAACGTTTTTGTTAGAATAATAGTTTTACCATATTATAAATATTTTTAACTCAAACTAAATTACTTTTTATGAAAGATATTTGTATTTTAAACTAAAAAAAATCAATTAAATATTACTACATTTTTTTTCGTCCTGTAATTCAACATCTACTTATATTAAATTAGATACATATAATAAACATTACCTAATAAAATTGCTTTCTACATTTTTTATTTTTCCCAAAATATTCTAACAAACATTAATACTTTTAACATTTATTAATGCATTTTATTTGTGTTGAATTTGATGAGTTGCCGACAAGTTTAATATACCATTTTTAGAAAATAATTATTTTTAAAATTAAAAATATTTACTCATAATAAATTAATATAGGCTCAAAATGTGAAAAAAAATAAAGTATAAATTTGAAAATAATGATATAAATAAATGAAAATATTCAAAATTTATTATAATTCAACTCGTAAATTTGTTTGTTTAATCATATAAACAAACTCTAACTTACACTAAATTTATTTAAATTATTTATATACAAATTTTATGTACTTAACACTATTATCTTGTAAATAATTGTTATACTTATGAATTATTAAAGTGATGTAAATTTATTTATATATCTACTAAGATAATTATAATAATATTTATAACAATATTATACCTGCCGCTTACCTAACTCTAATTTTTCGGAGTCTTATTTTAAATAAATAACCACCAACATTTTTAAAATAAAATTCTCACATCTACATAATCAAAATTTCAAATTTTTTAATTTTAAGTTTATCTCAATTATTACTAAAATACATTATTTATTGCAATTAAAATTTATAAAACTAAGAAACAAATCTACTGAAGAATTTGATAACATAAAAATAATAAAAGTTATAACTGATTTAAATTTAAATTTTATATTTTTAAAGTAATACAATTTTTGTTTAATTCATTCAAATAAATAGATCAAATTTCAACACCTAATTTTGTTTCTTGTTTACAAATCAAACTTAAATTTCAGTAGTCAAATCAACTCCTGGACTTCACCCCCATGTCCACAAAGTACTTTTGGTGGCTGCCTTAGTGTAATCTCATACAAATAAAAAAAGCAGAGAATAAAACAAACAAAAAATACACGAAGCAGAGTAAGATACACAGAACCGTAGTCCATAACCATAGCCATAGCCACCTTCCTTTAAACCAATTCCTCAACTGTTTCCCACCCTTCTATTCATCTCTTCTTTCCAAAAAGGTAAGCTTTTTGCTTGCCACTTTTGTTTTCTCAGTTTTCATTGAGTGTAACTGGTCATCCCTTAGAGTTTTGGCCACCCTTTTGTGCCTTGCAAATAAGGGTTTTATGCTTTGAATTTGTTTTATGATTTTTTATTTTGACCCTTTTTTTGTTCTGTCTAAAGGGTTGTTTTTTAAGGATGTTTTGGTGATGTGGGTCTAGGTGTTTGCTCTGTTGTGCTGTGTCTGGTGGTGTTTGATTGTTTCTCTGGCCCTCTTCTTCTTTCTGTACTGTTGATTCTTTGGATTGTTTTCTGATTGTAAAGTTTAATTTTTTATAAACTTTATATGCCAGTTCCAGTAATCTTTAACCGGGATGTTGATGGTTTTGGTTGAAAACTTGAAATATAGTAATAATAGACATGAACTCTGGTACTCTTGTCAAGGAGTTATATATGTTACTCTATTGCAACTATTATAATCTGTAAGCTATATGGCCTTGTTATGTACCTGGAAATAATTTCCATGAAAAGCTTCTGTATTGTATGATATAATCATTTCTCAAAATGGAGGGCTTAGCTTCCCATAACCCTGTTTTTATGTACTTTGTGTTTGTTTGCATAATTGAAAGTTTCCATTGATGTAATGGTGGCTTTGTGAAATATAAGTTCGTTTCTTATGTCAATTAATTCTAAATACTATTTTTTGACTCATGAAAGCAGAATAGGTGCATAAAGTCTAGTGGCCTTTGATCTGATCCTTTCTAGAGAATGAAACTATCAATGGTAGTTTTGAAACTATCAATGGTAGTTTTGATTAAATAGCAGAAGAATTACTGGAAAATGGGAGGTTGCTGTTGTTCTGCCAGAAAACCTCATCTGCAAGGAACACCAGTGTATTACTATGTAAGTAGTTTTCTATCCTCTCTTTTCCTTTATGTTACCCATGGTAGCAGATAAGAATCTATTTAGTTATCTCACTCCAGCAATTTTGTTTCCGACATCCTCACCTTTTGTATTCTTTTGATCAATAGCATTAGCAATCAGTTTATTTCATAGTGAAGAACCACTTGTTGAAGGAAAATTCAAACTATTCCATAGTCAACTTTCTGTTAAAAGCCTGAAAATGGATGCTATCAGCAATACACCCGATTAACATGTGACTTCTGCTTTATATTGTTTACAAAAATTACTATTTTGGATGAAGAGATTCACCTAGTTGAAAGATCAATCAGTTTCCTGTTTAGTAATCTAGTAACATGGATTTATTGATCTTTTTGGATTTCAACATATTCTAAAATAGTGCCAGATTCCTGGCAAAAAGGAGGGATAGTGAATGTTACACTCAGTTATTGTTGAATCAAATTAGACACCTGACAGAGAAATGGTGAATTCACATTTATGATGCTCAAAGTGAATTTTTAAAAGCTGCTACTTGGATGGAATGTAGGATGTATGGGCGGATGCAAAATAATGGAATTTGTTAAAGCTCAAATGGAAGTTTTCTCCTCTTTTTTTAATGAATTTATATTTTACTGTACGGTTGTGTCACCTCAGTTTTGGTGAATAAATGGAAATAAAGTCAAATAAAAATCCATAAATACCTTCATATTCAATTGATATTTTCTGCACTTGGACATGGCTTTTGAGGACTGTATGCTGAAAAGAATGAGCATCTCAGAATTTCGTTATCATGTTTCAATTTGCAAAGATTTCGTAAAAGCTTACACAAAATTGTTCTATATGCTATGCAATCTAAATCTTCCTGAAATACCTATCATTTGCCCCTTCTTTCTTTTAGCTTAAGGCATGGCTCTCTGGTGGATGTCAAATGAGAAGGTGGCTGAACTGTATTGTGAAATGAATTGTTTTCATTGTTTTATTCAATTTGAAATACTTCCAAAACAGTAATCTGGTCTAGCTATTTGTTTATTGTTTTAGATTATGGTTTATAATTATTTGTTAATTGTTATGATCCTGTGGTTTGAAACTTTACAAAATTCTGTTTTCAGTGCCCACCAACTTTTGAAGAGCGGGAGTCTTTAACATTTAATGATGGCACAACTCCTTCACTGAATGCTGGATTTCTAGTTGGTTTGAACCTGGAAGTATCCAATCCTGATACTTTCCGGCCCCCACCTGTGCCTCTACCTTATGATACCATCCTGGGAGGTTCTGCATCAACAGATTCTGAATCTGGCAGAGAAACAGTTAGTAGTTTTGAAGCTTTAATTACACATGAAGATAGTGAAGAGTCAGATTGTAAAGCCCAAGTAAATTCTGCACCTATATCTCCAAGAAAGGCAGAACTATCAAAATCAAATGAATTTCAAGTATTAGTGACAGAGGAAGAGGATGTCTGTCCAATTTGTCTGGAAGGTACAATTGCTTCTGTAGTTATAACTTATAAGTTAATTTTTCTTATGTTGTTTCAGCCGTGGGAATCAGTAGGAACAGGTTCTCTCTCACTCTTTCTCATACTGAAAACAATAATTTGATATATATATTTTTTACTTTTAATTGCAGAATATGATGTTGAGAATCCTAGAAATTTGACAAAATGCGAACACCATTTTCACCTATGTTGCATTCTTGAGTGGATGGAAAGAAGTGACTCCTGTCCTATATGTGACCAGGTTTGGCTTTTGCATTGACCGTGGTCGTTTAGCATAAATCCTAAACTATTACATGAATAGAAGGGTCTTAGATTTGTTTGCCTTAAATGCCATAATCATGCTAACTGCACTTTTCTGTGGTTGCTCACCAAATATAGGGATTGAAAAAACTGTTTTCCCCCTACTTTATTTTCTTGGCAAACTAACTTTAGCAATCCCAATAAGATGCTGAAAATTGGTTATTGTTGACAATATAGTACCATCTGACTTATTTTTTTTATCTTTTAAATCAGTTATGAGCTTTAGTGAAATACTCTTTTTCCTTTGATGTTACAGGAGATGATATTTTGACCAGACAATGAATTAGTTTGATTGTTTTAAAATCAAAGCATATTAAATGCATGGAAGATAGATGAAGTTCATTGTATGATTACTGGTTAGATGATTATAGCTACAGATTCATTTTCATTCCGCGATGCATAGACAAAGTTATAATTTTAGTAGGCCCACTCATTGGGTATCTGTGAGAAGATGAATGAGGCTTTGACAGAATGCTACACCTTATAGCCTGTCCCTTTGAATGCAGCTCCTTTGGTCAGAATTTGCCATTTAGTATTAGTGAAATGATGCTCCATTTCTCTATATGCCGACATTCATGTTCACAGATGGATTCTTTCCATTTTCTTGTTAAAGTTTCTCAATACTTTTTTTTTTCTGCTTTTGAGGGAGGGGTGTTATGCATAATTCAGTATTTTTGTTGTATTTGTAATGAGTAGTGAACAAGTATAGAATAAGACCCTTTTTCTATTAAATTTTATTTTCCATTAATACTTCTTAACTCCAATTATCAATATCACTAGTAAGGAATAACCTGTTCTTTTCCTCTCCAAATCCTTCCTTGCTATTTTCTGAATCTTTTAGACTTCCAACTCTCTTTTTTCCTCTAGTCTTTTGCAGTAATGTTCTATTTCATTTTTCACACCACCAATTTTGTTAGGCCTACAATTCATGTTACAGGCAGTGCATGAGGTCAATTTCAATGGCATTTAGGAGGGCGATTTTTAAGGCAGTTAAGCATTCCAATAACATAATGAAAATTCATTAAGCTGTCCTTGAAAGAGTTCATCTTGTGTATCATGTAATTTAACTATATATACTATCATATTAAAACATAGTACATGCAAAAAAAGAAAAAAAGAATTAGTACATAGCACAAAGGGAAATTTAGCTAGTAGCAATGAGACATGTCAATCATTGGCAGTATCAAAATACTCTCCAATTGTTTTTTCTTTGACATTTAAGGTTTTGTATAGGAATTAAATATATTATTAGCATTCTAAATTTCATAAAAATTATTACTTAACCTTCTGATGTTCTCTTTATCTATATTAGTTAATATCTTACATATTCATTATCTTCTATTAAATAAGCATGAATTATTAAGGATAAAATTGTAAAAAAGAAAAGTATTAGTTGTTCATTCATTTAAAGAGAGAGAAAAAAAAACAAAGGATGTAGCTATGAGCCTATGACATGAGTCATTTGGTGAGTTTTTGCCCTTTGATTCTCAAAATTATCGATGTGATTATTTATTTAAACTAATTACGACTTAAAGTTGAATTAAATAAAGAAAATTATTGAATTCAAATTTACACTAAAGTCGTGGACATCTTTGAAAAAAATGCTATTTTCAATGATTAAAATATATGGCATGTCTGTTTCAGCTTAATAATCCGTATTGATTAATATGGATAATCGTGTCTGGATTCAGTTGCGTGTTGATTTCACCTGATTAATGCATTTTATAAAGAGTCACAATTTCAGAGTGTTGCAGATAAGGCGAGAAAGGAACCCCCAAAGTCTCTTATTTCAACTTGAATTGAAACTCAGAAAAGAAACAAATAATAATTTGATAGCACTTTATTGTATTTAATGTTACTTCTACTTTTTAAAACAAATTAGATACTTGCAAGGCTAAGTAATCGGCAATCCATAAAGACCCTACTAGCAATCCACGTTGATTTGCGAGTTATAATAAAAAAATGTATTTTAAAAATAATATAATTCTAGCATTTTTTTTTTTTATTGATAAAATAGGCAATTCTTAATGGCCAATAGGCTGTTTTCACCAATCTAGTTCTACTGTTCTAGTCACATATAATTTCATATTTACATGATTATTATCTTCTCATAAAATAAGTTATTTATCATTTTTCTAAACACTGATTCTTTTCATGTTTTCGTGTGAAAAATAAAGTGATGTAATTATTATTATTATTATTATAGCAGCTAATTTTAAGTCTAATTTATCTTTCTGAACTGTATTACACGCTGAATTGATGAAATAAGATTAATAGATAAGATTTTTTGTTTTTTATTGAACAATTTTTTTTGCTATTTTTATTTAACAATTTTAATCTTCAATGAACTTTTTGGTAAGATTCAAACCTAGATGAAGTTTTTACCGTGTGCTAGAGAAATAAGAATGGTTAATTATTGTAAGATTTTCAACAATAATTAAATTTGTAAAGTGGTATTATCAATAGTATTTACAACATAAAACTTTAATATTTAATAATGTTAATCATATTACATTCTCCTATTATATACTCATCCTCATCATGAACAATTAAATAAGAAATTAATTTATAATTACAAAAATATAAACTAATAATTTTTACATTACATTTTATATTTACTATTTTTAAACATAACATATCATAAAATCTAACATCCTTTATTTATGAAATGGCATTTATTACAAAAAAATTTCACTATATATTCCAACTTTAATTTAAAGAATAATATTCAAATAATTTATAACCAATTACATATTATTACAAATAAATAAGTTATCAACAAATTAATATATAAATCCTTCTTTTTCACATATAAAATATTTTATCTGCAAATAATAAATAATTCTTAATACGAAAAATCAAATAAAATAATTAAACATGTAATACTTGGAATACATATTATTCATTTTTCTAAATAATTAAATTATTTATTATAAAATAAACTTCTAAATTATATTATGCCAATAAAAAAAAAGTACGTAAATACAAAATATAATCTGATTCTAATTTTTTTTTCCCACCACTTTGGTTAGTTCCTATCACAAATGTTGTTACATATTTATAGGCTCCTAAATTTAGACAAAAGAATATATCTATATTTTTATTCTGAAAATTAAAAATCACATAAAAATCATTCCTATTTGAACGATATTGGAGTCATCTTTGAGATAAATAATATTAAAATTGGTCCTAACCTAGATGATATAAAATCATTCTAATTATGAACACACAAGTTTCTGACATGACACATGTCATCCACAGGTGAGTGTTATCCTATGTAAACTAACACACTGTAAAGTTGCTACGTCACGATAAGTGTCAGCATTAGAGTAGACGATATTTAAAATTTTTTAATATAAAATAGTAAAATAAGGGATAACACTGTTAACACTGGTCACTCTACATAGAAATCAACCCTAATCAACCAAAAAAGCCGGGTAAAGACTTGCACTTTTGTTTATTTTTATGAAATGATTGATGATGGTGTATCTTCTTCACCCATGCCATGCAGCGAGATAAACAAGCAAGTTCACTATTCCCCGCCTTGTCTTGCCACTCTAAGCCCATATCTATTTTCGAAAATAAAAGATAATATATTATTATGGGTATTAGAACGACGCCGTTGTGGGTACTTCTGTTCCTCTCCATATGAAACCGCATCTATACGTGATCTTAGTGTAACTACATTTTTGTCTCTAAAAACATTATTTTACAATTTTATCTCTTTGTTATTTGAAGATGGCCTACGTTTTGATTATTTGAAATTAATAAAACTGTCAACGGTTTGAGAATAAAAGGATTTTATTTATAAGATTTATAATGCACAAATGTTGTTGTGTAGTGTCATTCTATCTTTGGCCAATGCAAAGGTAAAAAAGAGAGCAGAAAACAGTAAATAACGGTAACTATGCTGAAAATTAAGTAATTTCATTGTCAGTTAGTGAATGGAGGAGACTTAGTCACCTCAAATGTTCTCTTGGTCTAGATGATTTCATTCTAAGGCAAGCCTAAATTAAAGCCTATAAAACTCTTGCATGTGTGTCTGTAGCCAAAGAAACAATTTTGTTCAAACAGAAAAGAAAAAGAAGCAAATAAAAAAGCGTTGACAAAGACCTATTTTCTTGTTGTGTGCATGCAACTGATCCGTTCTAACACCTGAAAATCAAAGAAAATCTGTCAAAATAGGTAAAGGAAGAAATAAACAGGATGCAGGGGAGAGCAGTAGCTCATCCTCTGCAGAAAATTCTCCTAGGAAAGGCACAGCAAGAGTAGAGACAAGATTGTTCAATGGTCCCGATTCCTTGGGCGAAGCAGAGCTTCATCATGCTCCTGAGGGTCTAATTGACACTAATGTTGGAGACTACAGTGGAATAAATGGCATTGAAGATTTGAAAAATGTGTTCTCTGTGGAGTCTATAAAGCTTTGGGCAATTGCTGGTCCTATTGCTTTTAATATTCTATGCAACTATGCTGTCAATTCCTTTACAAATATCTTTGTTGGCCATCTTGGAGACTTGGAACTCTCTTCAGTTTCAATCTCTCTCTCTGTCATTTCAAATTTCTCATTTGGCTTCTTGGTTAGCTTCTAACTTCTATGAATTTTTGGGGCAATAATTTCAAATTTCAAATTAATTGCATCATTTTAAGCATTCAGAAGTGAAAATATTTTATTGGTGAAGTAATTATTATTACATAAAAAAAAAACAAATAAGTGTTTAATATTTTCTTTTTCAATAAAAGCTTACTACTTTTATATGTTTAAAATCAGCTTTAATGTTAACAAAACCTTATTTCAATTATAAAATCAACCAATTCTGCACGTATTTTGGACAAAAACATCTAAGTTGAACTTGTTATCAAATATTTATATTGAATTATCCGAACATTTCCTCCAATATTTTAAAATTGAATTCAGTGTTTTGACTTAATTTATCTAATCTTTTTCATTTCTGGAAGATTTTTCTGTAGTTAATGTACAATGTGGTAGCAACCTGCTTTGATCTTGAAAGTTCACTTCTATACAAATTGATCCTTAAAAAGTGTCAAATTCTTAACAAGTTACCCTTCCAACTTATCTATCAACTTATAAATAATTTCATACCACAAAGAACCTAGTATAGACGTGCACTTCCAAGGTCCAAAGCAACACAAATTTCAGGACCAAACAAATTATATTAACTTGTTTTTATAAGTTTAAAAATTGAGGCCTTAAATTTTTGCATCAACTTTGCAGCTTGGCATGGCAAGTGCACTAGAGACTTTATGTGGACAAGCATTTGGTGCTGGACAAGTAGAAATGCTAGGGGTTTACATGCAACGCTCTTGGATAATCTTATTTGGAGCATGTATCTGCCTCTTGCCAATTTACATTTATTCTGAGCCAATCTTGATACTACTTGGCCAAGAACATCAAATTGCAGAGTTAGCTGGAAAATTTACTATTCAATCTATACCTCAGATGTTTTCTCTAGCAGTCAATTTTCCAACCCAAAAATTCTTGCAGGCACAATGCAAAGTGGGATTTTTGGCATGGCTGGGTTTCGTAGCCCTTATTATCCATATTATAATTCTATATATTTTGATGAAAGTGTTTGCTTTGGGAACATCTGGTGCTGCTGCAGCTTATTGCATGTCAGCTTGGATAATTGCTTTGGCTCAAACTGTTTATGTTGTTGGTTGGTGCAAGGATGGATGGAGAGGCTTGTCATGGTTAGCCTTCAAGGATCTTTGGGCCTTTGTGAAGTTATCTGTTGCTTCAGCTGTCATGCTTTGCCTAGAGGTTTGGTATTTTATGATCTTGATTGTTCTCACTGGACACCTTGACAATCCAATTATTGCTGTTGGTTCACTTTCAATATGGTAAGAGCATACCTAAACTATATGCATTCCTCCTTTTCTTCAAATAACGACCCCTTATAATTGCTACAAACAACTAAAAAATATATTGAATACGTCTATTTTATCTATAAAAATGGGTTAAATCTCACTCTACTTAGCCTAGCCTATTACGTAGCCTATTTTATTTTTTTTTCTAAAACCCTTTAGTAGGTTTATTTTGACCTTAAGTTCCAATGTAAAAAAAAATGATGAATTAAGGTAAGAGATAGGGTTATGTTAAACCTATTAATAATTATTATATTATTTATAATATTTATTAAATTATTTTATTTAAATAAATTAAAAATATTTTAAATATAAAATTGTTTTAAAAATAAAAATATTTATTTAATATATTAAAATTTTATAAAAAATAATATAAAATATAATTATTGAAAAATATTATAAAATTAAATTAAATTTAGCATTTACATTTGTTTAATTTTTTTAATTAAATTTAATATGGTATGTTAATAATTTATTATTTTAATTAAGGATTAGTAATAAATATTTTTAACTATACAATAATTAAATTATAAAATAAGTTATTAAAATAATAATAATTAATTTAAATAAAAATAAATGTACAACTATTAAATTTTGATAATTATTTTAATAAATTTAATCAATTTAGTATTTTTTTATTTTTTTAATGAGTTTTAATAATATGAATTTTATATATATATATATATATATATATATATATATATATATATGTGTGTGTGTGTGTGTGTGTGTGTGTGTGTGTTAGAGCTAGAAGCTTTTTTACCCTAAATAAAATAGGTTAAAACTCAACTCTACTTTTTAAGGAGTTCAAAAGTTGATCAAAAACCATTTTTCTAACTGTTAGCATTTTGAAGCATGTTTAGGAAGCTGAGTTTCTGGCTGATGTTCAACACATGCTTATTGGTTTTCTTACCTTTGTCATTGATGTGAATTTAATCATGCAATCCCTTCTTTTCTTTCCATAAACTCTTCTCCAATTAATTATGATTCTTTTGCATCCTGAGAGGGAATTTACCAGATGAACTAAAATGTTGCATATACTTTCAGATAAGCTACATGATTTGGAACAATATTGACAATGTTATTTGCCTCTAATGTTATCTTAAATACCCATAGTTTACTGATTTGATACTTGTTTTGTTTTACCTCTCTCAGCATGAATGTGAATGGATGGGAAGGCATGTTATTTATAGGGATCAATGCAGCTATTAGGTAAAATTATTAAGTTATGGCTTATTTTTGTTTCCCCACCTCACAGGTTTTTTTATAACTTATAAATGAGTTTTGTTTTGGTGCCTTTTTCTCAGTGTGAGGGTTTCCAATGAGCTTGGATCAGGACACCCAAAAGCAGCTAAATATTCTGTCATTGTCACAATTGTGCAGTCCCTCTTCATTGGGTTACTTTGTGCAGTCATTGTTTTATGTACAAAAGATCATTTTGGTATCATTTTCACTGACAGTGTAGATATGATAAGGGCAGTTTCAAAATTAGCTGGTCTTCTTGGTATAACGATGATTCTGAATAGTATTCAGCCAGTTATATCAGGTATAAGGAGACCAAAACAAATCATGATATAAATGCTTATGCAACAAGGAAATCATGAAATGCTGCTGTATTCTTGCAGGTGTTGCTGTGGGAGGAGGTTGGCAAGCTTTAGTTGCTTACATCAATCTATTTTGTTATTATGTCATGGGACTCCCTCTTGGCTTTCTTTTTGGTTACAAGTGGGGTTACAGAGTGGAGGTAAAGTACACCATTATCACTTAAGTATCCATACTAGCCAATTTCATAACCAAATTGATGAAGCATATAATGGAGAATTAGAGATTAAATTTACTGGTGTTACCAAATTTCAGGTCCAAATTAATTAATGCCTGTTAAAGCGAAGAACTAAATTTGTACTTTTACAATATTATTAAGGGCCAAACCGATCAATAGTAAACAATTTTAAGGATTAAATTAAATTTTACTCTGCTTTTATGTAAAAAATTGTAGTAAAAAGTGATATGTAAATTTTTCACACTTATTTGTACCCTCTTGCCAAACACCCCCTTGATTGAAAGTGATTTTTCAGGGTATTTGGATTGGAATGATCTGTGGGACAGCTTTGCAAACTGCCATCTTGTTGTACATTGTCTACAAAACAAACTGGAATAAAGAGGTGAGAATTAGTGCTTTTCTGGGCTAATCATGAAGTTAATATTTCATCAACTAAAACAATTGACTGAAAAACTGAAATTAATCATATTGAATGCTACTACTTATGGCAAGAAAAACAAAAGCTTATAACCACCAAAGCTCAAGCAAATACAAATATATATTGGATCCCCTCCATTACATAGCTAATAAATCTGAAATTTTCAGGTTGAAGAAGCATCAGAACGGATGAAAAAATGGACTGGACACGAATTGGAAATTAATACAGTGTATAATTAAGAAAATTCGAGCTTTTTCATAGTTTGTTTTATACTTATTATTTTGTGACATACATGTGAATGACTTAACCATGATGAAACTTATTTATTTCTTTTTTTTTTCTTTCTTTTTTGTTTGTTTGTTTGAATTAAGGACAACTTCGCAGCCATCAGAGAAAGATTAATCTCTCCTGTGATAGAATGAACTAAAGTGGACTTCAAATCTCTCAACAGTGTTTTTACAGAGTCAGCCGTTGATCCTTATGCTTGGAGCATCTTATTATCCACAAATTATACTAAACTTTATTGGTCAATATTTCTTTTCTAAAGTGAGGGTATGATTATGTATCTGTAAATATTCATCCATTTATACTGTCCTTAGATTTACCTATCTCAATAAACTAATTTTGTAGTTTTGTACTTTTTTATTTTTTATTTTTGTCATGTGGTGCGGATAAGCCCACGAAATTTTACAATTTTGCAATGCATTCTAAAATTAATAAAATATACTTTTCATTTTTTACTTTTATTTAATATATCAACTTGGTATTTTTTTTAGCAATCCCCATCAGTTTTAATTTCTAATTTTTAAAAACATAATGTGACTCATCTATATTTATTATTCACGTTTTGTTTTTGATATAAAAGTTTTTATTTTTGCTAGTTTTTCAGAATCTCGTTATCATCTCCACATTTTGAGCCGTGTAAATATTACATATACTTATTTGTTTTGGATTCCTCTATTTAGAAAACAACATTGTCATGTTTTAAATAAGTGAAAGTTTTACCATAGCTAAAGGTTAGTGTTTTAATTTAATTTTGCTTCTCTTTTTATTTCAATTTTATCTTTTATTTTTCAATTATCTCTAGTATTTTCTAGTTCTACGTTTATCTTTTTGTTAACTTCTGGTTGACTAAAGTTCTAGAAAGCACCAACTTGACCCACAGAAAGGGATGAACTTGTGCAGATTTAGTTCTTTTAAATTGAAAATGTAAAAAATTATTTATTATTAATTTAAATTAAAATATTCTATAAATATAATTAATTTTAAATTAACCTTAGTTAATTGTTACTTTAGAAGAATTAAATCAGACTTTGTTTTATTTTGTATCGGGACATGTAATCTTCTAAATTTATTATTTTAAAATATTTTTATGATATTAGATTGTCATTTACAGTTTTATTGTTTTTAACTTTGTTACAATTCATATGCTCTCCCATTAGGACAGAAAATAGACATTTAGTTATATTATTTTAAAAACAAAAATAAATTTATTTATACAAATATGTAAAGAATGACAAAAAAAAATTATACAAAATTCGTTTAAGTAAATTTAGTTTACTTAAACAAATTTTACGTATTTTTTATTAGAGGACATGGAGGAAGTTAAGGAGAGAGAGTGGATAATATAGGGGTAGAAGTAAAGGAGTTGAGTATGAGAAGAAGAAAAGAGAGATAAGTACCAGGGTAGAAAGGAGAAGAAGAAAATTAGATATGAGTAAAAGAAAAAGGAGTTAAATAGAGAGAGAGGAGGATGATTGGATATGAAAACTCGAAGAGAATATAAAATTAGAGAAAAAGTTAAAAAATTTATTTAAATGAACTTTGTATGATATTTTTGTTATTTTTTATATTTTTGTTTAAGTAAATCTATTTTTACTGAAGTAAAAATGAAAATAGACATTTAATTCCTGAAAAGCATCAATATTATTTTGCTACCATAATTTAAATTTTTTCTCATGTAAAATATTATTTTCTCTTCGTTAGTCAAAATTTCCTCCTTCACTATCTACCTACACTTCTTTAATATTTTAATTCACACTTAATTCTCTTTATTATTATTTTGTTTTTTTACTAAAATAAATAAAACGTTCAATCCAAAACTTAAAATTTAAGGTTGAATTGTAATAAAATTATGGTATTTAATTTAGATTTTAAATTTAAGGCTTTTACATAATAAACTTTGAGTTTATCTAATTTAATTAATTTATAGTTTGATATTTTTTTATTTTCCAAATATATTTTTTGTTTTGAATTTTATTAATTAAGCTTTTAATAAATATGTTATTGTTAGAATATAAAATTAAAAATATAAATCATATTAAAACATAAGAATGATGCTACAATAAATTTCTGAGGTAAAATTATAATATATTATATATTTTTTTATATAAAATTAATGTTATTATCATTATATATGCATACTTATACATACATGAATTTTTAATGTCAAATTTATAAAATTTAAACTCAACTTATTAACATAATTGAGTTTAAAATTATATTTAAAATAAATAAATAAATTTAACCAAAGATTCAGTAAGTTAGATAAATAATTTTAATTTTATAAATAATAAATTTAATTTAAAATAACTTTTACTTTATATATATATATATATATATATATATATATATATTCACTTAAATAAAAGCAATATATGATTTTTTATGTTGCTCTTATTTAGTAAATATATATTTTTAAGTAATAATTATTTTAAATAAAAAAGAATATATATTGTGTGTTAGTCTATTCAACTTGTATGAATTTAGGATTAAATAAATTAAATAAAAAAATTATTTTTTTCAACTCTAATGTTTAAAAACATGTTTAATTTTTATTTAAAAAAACTATTTTTAAAACATAAATTAAACATACTCAGTCTTTTTTTTTTAGTTCAGTCCATTAAATAGACATATTTTGCTTACTTTACATGGAGTAGAAACCAAGACATCGTTGGCATGATATAATACAAATCGGAACCTTTTGTTTAAACACTCGTAAAAGGATAAATATGTAATAAGATAAAAAAAAATAGAGAACACATTTTTTTAAATTAATACCTTAAATAAATATAGAGAATAAAAATATATTTTAACCTTGAAAAATTAAATGAAAAAATAATTAGTGCTAAAATACATCCAAATCTAAATAGCAATATATTTTAAGAAAAGAAATAAATGACCAATTTCATCTCTTAATGTTTTATGTATTTGTTAAACAAGTTTTAAAATCAAAGAAATAACGTATTAGACTCAATGAATAATGTTATTGTTTGCGATCAAATGCATCTCTTGAACAGTATTAAAATAAGTTTTTAAATTAAGTTTTTAAAATATTATTTCACAAAAATTATTTTTAATTACTAAAGTTATCATAATTTAATTGTTTGAATTTAAATAATGTATAATAGAAATAAAGAGAAATTAATAAAAAAAAATCAAAAGGTAAAAAAATATATTTAAGATGAACTTAGGACTTGTGATTTTACCTTTACACCTCTTTATTACTTTTAGTTTAATTCAAATATTAGTTTTTGTATGATCATCAATTACTTATATTAATATTATTAATACTCAATGATCATGCAAAATAAAAAGATAAGGAAAACATAAAGAACTAATAAATTTGTTAATTTAATAATGATTGAAAGAAAAAAAACTAAGTTTGTTCTACTTAATTTATTATCTCATTTTATCTTATAGTTCCATTAATTATATGTAGTACAGTCGCATACAATACAATCATTTATGGTAAGTTAAGAGTGACAAATTCTAAACATATAAATACAAGTTCAATTGGATTAAAAAAAAATTACAATTGTCATTAAATAGAAAAATCACAAAGTATGTAGAGAGTCTATCATAATCATAACTATGAATTTAACCAGTCATAATGAAATAGAAAGAGAAAACAATTATAAATAAACTCATAGTTATTTGAAAGTAATGCAAACTAAAATAATTCTAAGGAAAAAAGGTGACAAGAGTTCTTGTCTTCAAAAAGCATTCTTGATCACTTGCTCAATCTCTAGAAAGATATTCTACATATTTATTAATGATCTTTACTCTCAAACAACTCTAATAGTTGTCAAAAGTTAGTTAAGAATGAGTTTTCAAGTGTCAAAATGTGTTTCTCAAAGGTGTAAGACTTCTTTATATAAAGTTTAGAATATACCAAAAGATAATGATTTAGCCTCCAAAAAAATATGTTTTAACCTTCTAAGAGATATATTTTATATGTAACAAAAGATTTGACTTATCATTAGAAAAGATATGATTTTTTATTTGCTAAATTTAAAGTTTATATTCGTATTTAAAATTCATATTCGCTCTTGCATATTCTTGAGAATCTTCAAATCAGTTATACCAAGGGATAAGCACGGTCATGCACAAAGCACTCTCAAACTAGCTGTTAAGTAAAGTCATGTTTTCTTATGTGCATAGCCCTACTTTCCATTTAATTTTCTCTAATTATGACTAAAATGCTTTCTTAGTATAAAGTCTTCCTCAAACAAGGATTAAGCATATAAAAATAAATCATAAAAATACTGAGTTCTCTCATTATCATTTTTTGTTACTCGTTAATAAAATTATATATGACACATTATCTGTTACCTTCATGACCTTTTTCTTTTGTCAAATCAAGATATCAGCCTTTGTAACTTAGTTATCTTTACCAATTAAAATATTAGTCTTAGCCAAAAGTCAATGTTAACCCACAAAAATTAACATTATTGAATATTTCAATGTATTTTTATTTATTTTATTTGATTTAAAAGGTCTGGTTCAAACCATTTTAAACATATTTTAAACTTTATAGGTTAGTATATAATAATTAAAATAATAATGTTGGTTAATAAGTGAAAAATAAAATTTTTTATTTCTTAAAAAATAATGAGACAAAAAATAAATATAATAAAAACTTTATATTTTCAATTCTTTAACTAGCATTTTAAAGATAATGATGATTTTATTTTGTAAATTTTTCTTTAAAATATCATGAAAAATTTGTAGAAAAACACATTAAATATAGTCCAAATTTATTGTTACAAGAAAAACTTCCATAGGTAATTATTTCTAAGAAAAAATACAGATAACTTTTTTAGCAAATTTTACTATGCATAAATTTGTAAATATGTGAAAAAAAAAAAGATAAATAACAAACAAATCTATAGGTAAATCTCAAAGAAACTTTTCAAGCAAATATACACATAAATTTTCTAAAAAACAATTGAAAAAA